GTGCTCCAGCCCTCCATCATCTTTGTGGCCTCCTCTGGCCCCGCTCCAGCAGCTCCATGTCCTTCTTGTGTTGGGGACTCCAGAGCTGAACGCAGTATTCCAGGTGGGGTCTCACAAGAGCAGAGCAGAGGGGCAGAATCCCCTCCCTCGACCTGCTGCCCACGCTGCTTTGGGTGCAGCCCAGGACACAGTTGGCTTTCTGGGCTGCCAGTGCATGGTGCCAGCTCATGTTGAGCTTCTCATCCACCAGCACTCCCAAGTCCTTTTCCTCAGGGCTGCTCTCAATCCATTCTCTGCCCAGCCTGTACTTGTGCTTGGGATTGCCCCGACCCACGTGCAGGACCTTGCATTTGGCCTTGTTGAACTTCATGAGGTTCTCGCAGGCCCACCTCTCCATCCTGTCCAGGTTCCTCTGGATGGCATCCCTTCCCTCCAGCGTGTCCACCACACCAATGAAAGCAAATGGTGTAATGCAGTGCTGCCGTGCTGGCGCCTGCCAGTCAGTTGATCATGTCTGGCACCCAGTTTTCCATCACTTAACAGCATAAGGTGTAGTTGCTGTCCTGTCTGAGTAAGTTGCTGCAGGAGCATCAGGTTCTGATCATCAAGAAGCTGGACAACTCTGTCAAAATATGTCATCAAATCGTGTGTTTTATTATATGTGTCTTTCCTTCCGGAGGATGAATCTAGTTCATCCTTCTAAGGTCATGTTGTGTGATACTTTAAGAAATAGACTATAGCTGGGGAAATTTGCACAATTTTCACAACCATATGGGGCTGCCATGGTGCAAAATACTTCAGTTGGCAAGAAACAGATTGAATATAGTTAAGAACGTGGTATTCCTTTGCACTATTCATCTCATTGCTTGGTTTGCTGCTGTTCAGAACGGCTTAGTGTTATCCGAGACACTGCTGGTGGTGAACTGCAGATGTCTCCTAACACGGAGGCCCCTTCTAGCCCATGGACAGCAGCAGACTGGAACCAAGGCAGAAAGACAGGTCAAGGCCAGGATAAACCAGTATTACTGATGTGGAGATTGTCACCATTTAATAGATGCACCTGGGGTAAGTCTGAGTTTACGCAGGACAAGGGTAAATACGGATCGACGGAAACTTCCAATCTGTATTGATGCCTTTTTGTCACAGGTTTGAATTCTGGTTACTCGCCGAAGGCTTGTGTGAGAGGACCGAAGCAGCAGGAAACCTCTCCCCAGCCCTTTGTGCCCACAATAAATTAGCATACTGCTGTGGAAAATCGTTCTGATTCAGTTAGCACAACGTCAGGTTTCCTGGACCCAAGTCCAGGACGTGGTATGGGATAGAGACCTCAAGTGAGTGGAGCACAGTTGTAGGAAATTAGACACAGATGTTGTTAAGACACGCAGCGAAAGATGTTTAAAACACTGAAGCATGTAGCAGGTGTCTAAGGATGGCCCTTCATCCTGAAAATTCCTTAGACCTAAACGATTCCTGACAGGGGTATGTCAGGTCCATCTGAGCCTCAGTGCCTCCCTACACCACCTGCAGTTCCACCAACCCCAATCAACAAACAAGAAACTTTGAGTAACTGTCTAGCAGCCTCTGTCTCACAGCACTGCTTAGAGAAAGGAATTGGTGAATAAGGTTGAGAACCTACCAGATTTGTGAGAAACCAATATTGATTCCGGACTAAAATGAAACTATTCCAGAAGAACACCTTGTAGGACTGGCTTTAGATCTAAGGGGATGGATATTCCGTGGTGTTACAGTCTTAATGGGCACTTAGTGAAAACACTGGGAAGGTGTCTCATGTACCACGCTAGTACTAAGTGACAGTGGATTTATTCTGGATCACTAAAAGCAGTATTGAGTTCCACCAGTTTCATGTTTTACAGATAGGAATTTAAATGATCACTACAGCATGACTGCTTTAAGGGTGTTCTCCTAAACAAAGGAGTATTTCTTCTCTTCCCCTGTTGCAGGTCATGGCAGAAGAAGAGTTGCCGGGTGTTTTGATTCTGGATGTAGGAGGAACTCATGGTGTACTAGAAAACCTTGCAGTCCTTTTGAAGAAACACTTTCGCCTTATCACCATGAAGGAATTTCTTGAAAACAAAAAAGAAGTGAGCAAAAAAATCCAATCTATTTTCGTGTTTGAGTGCAGGCCAACTATCGACCGGGAACTTCTAGAAAGTCTGCCTAATTTAAAAGTAATTGGAAACTCTGGGGTTGGAGTTGATCACTTGGACTTAAAAATGATTTCTAACTTCGGCGTAAAAGTGACCAACACCCCACATGCCGTGGTGGACTCAACAGCAGACATAGGCATGGCCTTGATGCTGGCCTCTGCCAGAAGACTAGTGGAAGGTAATGTTTAAAATTTTCCTGGATCTGGGATGCTTTTACAGGGAAAATAACTTCTGAGGACTCCATTTTCAAGAGGCCTCTGCTTTTCCTATGTCCTGCTTCTTTTTAAGGCCATGGGGACCTTTGTCTAAATTACGCACTTTAAAGTCACTTGTGATATAATTTCTGGGGATTAATTCTCCTCTGGCTGCTCACTGGGTGCATTTTTTATAGCTGTAAAAACTGAATACAAAATGCATCCAAATCAAATGTCACCACTTCTCCATTTCCCCTTGGAACAAGCGCTAGGAGCTCCAGGAAGGTACAAAGCATTAATGGCCGTGTACCGATCTCTAGAGCAGGAATTAGACTCTTCGTTTTTTTCCTGCTTCTGCAAAAAGTTTGTCTAAACCAATGGGTTGTATTTCCAGAAGAGCATCAGCATTATTATTGAACTAGCTGATAATCCTTTTGACAAAGCCATCCCAAACTGTACCACCACCATTAGTCTGGGTCCTTAAAGGTGGGTCCTCTCCCCACATGCCCTTGGTACGCAATGCCTTCCAGGGGAAGGAAGGTGTCAGTAGAGACTATGACAAGAAGTTGCTTCTGTCTTCAGGGCAGTGTTTCTGCCACCACCGCTCTACTCCTGAGCTCGAAATAACATCTCTTTCCCCATGATGTTTCCTCACTGTTGCATCTTGGTGGGCCTCGAGTTCTTTGTAGGAAAGCTCGTAGAGATCCCTGGCTGAGCTGGAATTTGCAACCTTCACCCCGACTCAAGCAGTGGGGCTGCTTAGGGTTGTGATCCAGGAGAGAAATGGTGAGATTTGCCCCAGCTAAAAAAAGATGAAGTCAGTGCTTGCATGGTGGTGTCAAATAAGCTATTTTTGAACTTCCAAGAAACTACTCCAACCACGGAAAAGTTATTTTCCTGAGGAGCCATTCCTCCCAGCATAGTACTCACCTGAGAGGCTCCCTGTGTTACTGGCTCCAGCCCAGGCTGTTGCAGGGAATGGCCCTATCCAGGCCCTTCTATAAACTGGTCAAAATTAGCAAGGATGTTCGGTAAGGGGTGCTCCAGACCCCCAGTGGTGTGATGGTTTTCTTTCCCCCAAACCTACGTTTACGGTCGGTTTGTACCCATTTAGCATGTATTTACATTCAGGCTGCCAGATAGCAGTTTCTCCAGACACGAAGCATTTTGCTGTGGACTGGCTGGGAGTGGAAGTCACCAGAGCCACGCTTGGGATCATCGGGATGGGCAGCATTGGGTACAAAGTGGCTCAGAGAGCCAGAGCCTTCAACATGAGGATCCTGTACCATAACAGAAACCGGAGGTAAAAACATCTGCGTTCTGCATGTCATTAGTCAGGGGGCAGTGACGGAAACCACAGATCTGCTCTGTGTCTCCGGTCTTCCTAGGCATTTGTGCCAGCTGTAAGCAGCATGAGGAGCACCAGCGTGCTGCCGCTTCCTCTCTTTGCCACCCTGCTGCTCCCCTGGGGAAGCAGCTCCCCATCGCCTCCTGCACTCACGCTGCCCTGGTTGGCTACTAACAGTTTGGAACAAGGGCCACGTAGCCTTTCTGAAGACATTGTCCAAGCAAACCAGGCTTTGTGCCCTCATCATGTCTCCTGTCCTGCCAGACTCCTCTTCAGGCTTCTGGCAGCATCACTGGCCCCCCCAGCCAGTCTCCCCACTCCTCGGCCCAGCTAGATCACTCATCACACCAGCACCAACGACAAGGGTCTTAACTTCTCTTAGTTCTATAGTTCCCTTTCTTTCCGACTTCACTCCCTCTTCATTCCTTTCCCACCCTGAGTCCTAACTCACATGTCAGGCAAGGAGAGACTCTACAGGGACTGGCATAGATGAGAAGAGTGGGGTCTGACCGCATCCCCAACCTCCTGTGCCTAATTCTCCTACATGCTTTGCTTTCACACGTGCTTTGCTTTCACACATACATCACTCCTTCAGTGTCATGCCACTCCTCTAGCTTCTTCCTCCCTCTAGCCCACATCCTTCCCACCTCCCTTCCACCCTCTGTACCTATCGATGTCTTTTCCTTTACCTTGGCCTCAAACCTCTTGATCTCTGCGCTCTTCCAGATCTCTCCTAGCATTGATTGTTAAAGCCAGTTAGAAATAGTTGGGTCAATCCGGTTGTGTGTGCATTTTTCCCTCAGGAGAAAGGAGGAGGAAGAGGCAGTTGGTGCCCACTACTGCGAGAAGTGGGAAGACTTGCTGCAGCAGTCTGACTTTGTGATGTTGGTTGTGAACCTGACTCCTGAGACTCACAAACTGATTGGGAAAAAGGAGCTGGGGCTGATGAAACCCACAGCTACTCTTATAAACATCAGCCGAGGTAGGAGGATCTAAAAGCACTGGTTGTGGCTCCACAGCTAAGGTTGTCTTTTGTCTGATGACGTCGACATTCCCCCCCTCCAACCTCAGTCTGTGATTATCCTGTGTTGTTTTGAGTCATGAAGTAGCTGGCAGTCGACAAATGAATGACGTATCACAGATCAGATGCTACGTGTTCAAAGGTCCTTTCCAATATAGGGATGCTTAGCAGATGTTCTGCTCTCTTTAGCCTTATCCTAAAGACAGAGTTTTTTTAGTGGAAATAACTGAAAGGTTCATTATCACCGATGACAGGGTAGAAGGAAAAACAGAAATTTCCTTTGGAACAGCTATGTAGAACAGAAACCTCATATGGGATTACAGATCTGTTGGCACTGAACAATGAGAGAGATTATAATTTCAGTAACCAAAGCAGAGATAAAAGTGGAAAGCTTGAAGAGATTAAATGACTTGTCTATAATAATACAGGAAGTCAGTGTAAAAATAAGGAAAAAACTGAAACCAGTCACATCCCAGGAAACGCCTTATGCAGTGCACCATAATCCTCCTCTAATTAAAGATTAATAAATAAAATCCCTGTTTTGTTTGGTTAATGGTTATTAGAAAGACATTCTACTTTTTAAGAAGATGAAGATTGTGTAATTTTTTTCTCACTAGACCCTTGAGACCTTTCCCCACTCCCAGGTAAAAACATGTTCAGCAGCTCGTCACGACAGCAAGATTTTGTTTCGATGCAGGTGCCGTTATTGATCAAGATGCATTGGTGGAAGCTCTCCAGAATAAGGTCATCAGGGCTGCCGCTCTGGACGTGACGTACCCTGAGCCTCTGCCAAGGTAAAGAAACCTATTTTCCACTAGAGAGGAAGAAGAAAAGGGTAAGCAAGCTTCCCACAGCCTTCTGCTGGTTCTGTGCTTGTGGCCCTTGTATCTCAACATACCTTTGCTATTTCCTGAGGTTCCTTTCTTAATGAACCTCATGAACCTAATCTAAGTCTGCCCTCTTTCCGTTTAAAGCCATTGCCCCTTGTCCTATCACTGCAATCCCTCGTCCAAAGCCCCTCTCCAGCTTTCTTGTAGGCCCCCTTTAAGTACTGGAAGGCTGCTAGAAGGTCTCCCCAGCACCTTCTCTTCTCCAGGCTGAACAGAACCTTCTTAGCATGGGATAGCTGCTGAGTAAGTTCCCTGTGCGATCCATTATCTTCTTTCTGTTTCTTACAGAGCTCATCCTTTATTAAAATTAAATAATGTCATCATAACCCCTCACATTGGAACCGCAACAGTCCAAGCTATCCATATGATGGCCGAAGAAGCAATAGCAAATATGCTGGCTGTTCTCAATGGCCAACGCGCTCCAAGTGAAGTGTTTCCCAAATGATGCGTGCCAGATGATCCCACTAAATCTGACGTGTGTGGGAAGGACCTACATCTTACGGCACTGCTGTTAAACTTAAAAAAAGGCAAGCTGTTCCTGCCCTGCTCTCGTCGTGATACTGCAAAGCTGTCATCTCACTAGACTTGATCTGTACTGTTATTTGCAGTTCTGAAAAATAAAGTGGAACTAATAAAGGGGATTTGACTGAAGGTTTTAAACTGAGCAGTTACGCACTTTGGTATCTTCAGTGCATAATTTCAGCGAATACCTGTGTTCTGTTCCCAGGTGCTCCGTAAGGATAAGCAAGTACACCAAGCAGTTTGTGTAACACTCTCAAATACGTAAAAGGTGAATTGAACCTTAATTCCCTGCAGAGATATGACTGCATCCTGAAACACTTTTCAGCCAATATTGCAATATTCTGTTTTTATATCCAAACACTGAAGAAAGACTCCTTTGGCCTAAGGTTTTCTAATGTAAGAAGAGCTCCACTTCATCTACATGTTAAAGCAAAGCAAAGCCAAGCGTTGAAAAAGTGTCTTTGATTTTCCTCAGGGGATCCTTTGAAAACCAAAGTAAATCCCAAGGGATTTAGTACCTCCTGTGGAGACAAAAATGATGCTTTTGTCTTGACTGGCCCTGGAACAATGGTAGATCTACCACTGAAAGCACGTGGGTGAGGACACAGCCTAGAGCAAAATTAGTGATCAGTCCTCACTTGCAGCCCAGGGCGGAGGTTTTTCTTACATTCTCTTTCCTGTGAGCAAGCAACAAAGTCGGAAAATTCAGTAAAATGTTTGTCACCTCCATAAAATCAGGAAGCCTTTCCATTATTTTGCAAGATGGTCAGGCTTCTTGAAGGGATGGTAAAATGAAGTTTTAGCAAGGGAAGTGTAGACAGGCCAAGAGTTAGACATTCAGATGCAAATAGTGAGATACTGCTAACAAGACTAGAGCAAGTATTGCAATAACAAAGACAACAACGAGTGTTGCTATAGGGGATTCCAAGGTCTTCAGCCCTTGAACAGCGCAGCTCTTCCCAAAATTCCTACAAAAAATCAATGGTAGCTGCAAATCTATTTAAAAAAAAGGTGTCAATTCAGAGATCCCCTGGGAACTAGAAACAGATGGTCAGTGATGCCTGCAAAAAAACTCCACGGTTTTAGTTTGAGTGCTAAGTCCTTCTTGGAAAACATTTGCCTAAGCATCCCTTGTTTTGTTAACTTAGGATCTCCTCAGGAGAAGGCACTGACTGCAGTTAAAAGGTCACTGGTGCCTACTCGAGACAGGAGGTTGCAAACATCTCTGCAATGAAGCATTTAAAAATTAACCTGGTAGCTCAAAGTTCATGATGGAGCTGTGCAGTTTTCACCAACTAGATTTGATCCAACATTTTTCTAAACTACTTAGACGTGGCGATTTGTGATTTCAGGGTAGCGAAGGAGATTTAGTGCACCAGACTATTGATAGCCTGAAATTAAGTAATAAATGAGAAATTATGGTGTGTTATGAGCTTGGTGGCAGTGATATCCTGTTCAGCCTGGAGAAGAGAAGGCTTCGGAGTGACCTTATTGCAGCCTTCCAGTACTTAAAGGGGCCTACAGGAAAGCTGGAGAGGGACTTTTTACAAGGGCGTGTAGTGACAGGACAAGGGGCAATGGATTTAAACTGAAAGAGGGGAGATTTTGATTGGATATAAGGAAGAAATTTTTCATTCTGAGGGTGGGGAGGCACTGGACCAGGTTTGCCCAGAGAAGCTGTGGCTGCCCCATCCCTGGAAGTGTTCAAGGCCAGGTTGGATGAGGCTTTGGGCAACCTGGTGTAGTGGAGGGTGTCCCTGGCCATGGCAGGGGGGTTGGAACTGGATGGTCTTTGAGGTCCCTTCCAACCCAAACCATTCTATGATTCTGTGATTCTATGATTCTATATGAAACCTTACGGGCCATGAGGGATGGAACTTGTTCAGACTTGATGATGTGAATACCTCTGTGTGTGTATGTATAGTTGGCACTATACTTAAAAGAGCTGCTTTCTCATCTTAGTTTGTTTACCTCCCTACCTAAATATGTGGTTTATAAGATCTCTTGTCATAGATGTCATAAACAGGACATGAAAGTGATTATTCTTTATAAGGTCTGGAAATAATTATATGTCTTTCTTCCGACGCTTTGTGTCTTTCTTCTTTGTGCAGATCATGGGAGGAGGAGAACTGCCTGGGCTTTTGGTAAATGAAATTGCTGGCATACATGGGATACTGCATGGCCATGTGGCATT